AGGATGGAGTCACAAATGAGGCACACAAAGTAACAGCAGATTAATTTTAAGAGCTAAAAGTTGGCATTTTGAAAAACAAAATGGGACACATTGTGAAAGAAAATGGCATCCCCTGAAGGTCTTATTCACTTGCATCAAAGTTTCATAAATTGAGCAACAGACATACGAGATGTTAAAAAGGTAGATACCTGGGAGTCTCAAAAAGACAAGATATAACATTTTCATTTGATCTGTCCAGTTTACTGCTTCTTCCCCTCATTATTAACAATTGCTCCCACTCTACTGTCACTTTTATAAAGCACAACACACTCCGAGTCATTAGAGCACTGGTAACTATGGTAGAGTCTCTTAGAATCTCAATTCAATGGTTAACACCTGGCTTTTGTCAACATTTCCAGCTTCAAAGCAAAACGATGTTTGTCTGAACTGTAGGGGGTCCAGATTCAGTGATCAAAGTAACCATAAAGTTGACCTTGTTTTACTTTATTTAATCAAGTTCTGCATAAATGATAAAGTGTCAATCAAGTCCAGAAAGACACCACTTAAGAGAACAGAGAGTGGAGGACAGAGTGAAGAACTTGAGGTAAAAAGGAAACATCCAAGGTGGGAGCATCTTGATCCAGACCACCCAGGAAGACCAGAATGGGGCTCAGTATCTGAAACTTGTTAAGAGAGTTTGCTATTCTGTGGTTTTTAGGGAACTCTGATTTCCTGTGTAAAGAATCCCTTGGGTAATAACAGCCTCTTCTGATTTGTAGGTGTTTTTTTAGAATATGGAAATAGGTTCCTATTAGTTTTGTTAACAGAAAAACAGACTTAACTGCTGGTTGTATTCTGGTTAATTTAGTTTAGCATCTTTAGCAGCTCTTCTTTTGGCCTTTGTAGGCATTATTTAAAGGTCTAACACCCAAAAAGTCAAATATTTGGTAACATAAATATTAATGAATAAATAAAGTATTTGTTTAACCAAGTGTGCCTGAATTATTACTATACTAATCAGAATATTATCCATACCTTTAAACAACATTAAACAGCCATAAAAAGCAAATCAGCTTATTTTTATTCATTACAAGCCAGGTACACAAAAGCAGTGGTTATGCCAGTGCTTTAATTGAAGTGATAATTTGATCAACTATACCATTCTAAACATGGCTCAATCCTAATAAAATTGGTTTTAACACACTCATGAATTTATACAGGTAGAAATAAAATCTCTCAACTCCATAAAGCACAACAATTGGAAAACTTCTAATTGGTAATTTATTAGCTAAATAGGGGGTTCAATTTAACAATCAAGAGCTCAGCTGGAACAACAACCAGCAGCTGCAGGAATGATGAGAATCTGGATAGGGACCTGATTTAGTTCAATTTTGTGTCATAGTTTTAGGAGGAACACAATACATACTGATCTGGATAAAATATTTTTCAAACTAAAATGTGTGGGAGAAACTCTAATACAGGCACTGTTTTGGACTGCATACTGATTTGATTATTTGCATGCTGTTTAAAAAGTCTAAAGTACCTCAATCAGTTTCAAACATTTACAGTAGGAAGACTTTCATTTAAATTTAACAGTGCATACTAGACTGTATTATACTCCAAATAGTACATATGGCAAAATTCAGAGTTGTTGGGGTATAAGAATATTTCCAAAGAAATATATTTATGATGTAAAGACCTCTGTCATCCAGCTGTTCCACATAACGTCAAACAGGGGACATAAACGCATGCTAAATAGTCAGTCGGTTCCGAATGTGTGGATAACTACAATGTGTAGTTCGTACAATGTATTGATGACTACTACCAAATGAATTTTTCACTTGGTGGATAGTAAATAGTGTTCTAGCCTTTGCAGCTGCTGTCTGAAAGAAGTAATGGAAGTGCAGACTGTGAACCAGCTGTTTTGTATTGGCGTCAATCATTAAAACTGATTTTTGACTGACATTGCTGATAAGTAAGAATAGACATTTCCCCCTTCAAAGACTTAACACTGTACACCAAATGTGTATACAAACCACATACAACCAGTACATGATAATCTTCCCTCAGCATCAGAAGTGAAAAACACACAATGTACCAGTAAAGCAACCAGGAGCACTATCCTATAGGAAGTGCTGTCCCTTGGATTAAACCCCAAACTTAAACTTACCCTGTCTAAGAGGTCATTTAAGATCCTATGATAATGTTTGCAAGCATAGGAGTATTATAACTCTACCAACAGGGCTACACAATTGGCCTACCAAATGGCACCCCTTCATTTAATTAGTGAAGACAATTTCTCACTTCTCCATGCTGTTTAGTGGGATTGCTGGAAAATAATGACCGTTGTGAATCACCAAGGAGGGCTGTACTTCAGTGGTGAATAAAGAGGTTTCCCTTCTACAGTATATGTAAAGTGCTTTGGGATCCATTAGGATGAAACGTACTACAAAAATGCAATCAATCAATTGATCAATTATCCTATTTTAAATGTTAAAGTGCAAAAATTATTTGTTTTTGTGTCTATGGTGTTTTCGCCATGTGGAGTTCCATTTGATTGTGTGAGTTAAACTGTTTTCTGGATAAAGCTTTTCCTTAATAAAAATCCTAGTTCCAATTCCAAACTCTAACAAATTGAAAATCCCTGCTCAGAATGAATGGATAACAGGAATGGCAGGGGTACCATTCGTATCAATTTGAGCTCTACTTTTGGCTTATTGCAACAAACTAAAAATAATTTAAAGGTTTCTCAAAGAGATTCTCAGATATCAAGCATGATGGATGGCGATTTCCTGGTTACCACTGCTGTGCTCTGGGGACAAGGGTTAAGAATGTAATTTCAATTCTGTTCACAAGCTGGAATACTGGTGATTTCATTAAACTCCTGTTTTCAAGTGCATGACTCAACTCAGATCCATATTTCATTATTTCTTACCTGTCTTTTCTCATCCCAGAGCAAGGACTATTTCACTCAGCAATACACCGCCAAATTTGAGACCCACACAACAGACTTTGTTTCAGAGTGATATCTTGTTTGTGCAGTTTGTTCTTATGTTTCTTGCATTTATCAGCATAATGTTCTTGAAACATAAAATTTACCTGGCCTTTATTTCTGTTTTAAAAGGCATCTTTTTCTAAACAGTTTTACATTTAAAACAGCAGAACAAAGACAAGCTGCTTCTAAATGCAAATGTAAATAGTATTTCCAATGTATTTACTTTTAAATATCTTAATTATTTTAAACTTTTCTAGCTGATCTCACCAGATCACAAAAAAGTGCTGAGCCTAGGTAATACTGAGATTGGAATCCTTTATCTAGGAAAATGAGGTACATCTATAAATGGTCTTGGTGGACCACTAGGTAACACTCTTCCATCTGGATGAGAATTTCAAAACCAATGAGCCAGAATGACTATGGACATTGCTTTATGAGATGCTGTCTTGTGAATAAGACAAAAAAAAACAAGGTCCCAACTACTTGGTCATAATAATTCAATGACACTGCTTTAAGGACTAGGATTGGTAACTCCAATACCCTGGCTACATTTAATTTGTGATTAATAATTGGATGGAAGATTGGAAAAAAATAATGTTTTCCTATATTTTGCATTGTAATGTAAAAACTGGACAATGCTTCTCATTTTACCTAGGCCCACATGAGTGGGCTTTTGAGTTTTTAGAAGGAACAAACATACTTTGATGTGTAAGAAAAACATAAGCAATGTAAGCTTTATCCTGTGAAAGATTAATGCAATGATTTCCTTTTACGTCCATTTGAATATACTGTATCTTATGAAGTGCAGCCGGCATTGAGTAAAATAAATTAGATTAGACCTTTCATTGGACTATTGAAGTTCTAATGAAAAAAGCATCAGATATACTGTAGGGGAGATCACAATTATAGCTGAATGCAATTGCAAAGAATCTTCCTAAATATAAAAAACGTCCAAGTTTCAGCTAAATCTTATACTTGAATCCCATGATTTGACTTTATTATCCTTGAATATCATCCATGTTTCCAGATCATCATTGTTACGACCCCAAGTGTCTATGGGTAAAGGGGTGTAACATTTAGGATAATTTTTGGATGCAGGTGAGTTCTGGTGTGGGACTTAGGAAGCGTAACAACAAGGGTTGGTGCAAAAAGTGATTATTTTAAGTTGAATAAGTGACTGGCACGTAATAAGACACAATAACACACAGGGGTAAGAAACTAGAGTGGTGCCAAAGAAAAGAAAAAACAACAAACAAAATGGAGCTGGCTAAGAAAGTGAGGGAAAGCTAACCTAACTACAAAAGAAAACCCGAAACACACGGTCTTCTGCATCTTCAAACGCCCTAGCTAACCTTCACTGACTACCCAAAACCATACAAGACAAAAGGCACTCACCCATACTAAACTAGTGTTACTAATGCAAAAATCAACTACATGTGCAGAATGTATCCAACAACCTAAACTAACCCTATACACAAAAGTTCACACAAATATACAAGTGAACTAGGAATACAAATAATAATAATAAACAAATAATAATAAAAAAGAGAGTAGTCAACAGGAACAGGGTACAAAAGAACACAAAGGTCGAACATATAACATGTTAGGGCAAGGTAATGGCAAAACAAGGATAAACACACAAACAAATGAAAGTACACAGAGACAAGCACAAACCAACAAAAGCCAAAGCTTTACAGACAACACACACGAACGAAACGAAGCTGAAGCAAAAACCAAAAGCGAAGCAAGACAGAAGCTGAGCCAAGCAGAACCAAAGTCAAACAAAAGGCCCCTTCATTCTGAAAGCCTCCAACTTATATACTAAATAAGCTGCACTCTGATTGGCTGAGAAGATGGACCAATGGGGGAGGGAGAACAATCAAGGTCAGGAAGTGTGGAACACAGCAACAAAACACACATGGACCACACACTGGGACGTAACAATCATATAAAACGGATTTGTAACTTAAAATTCAGTGACGACACTATTTGAATCATATGCCAGGCATTTTCCGTAAATACTTACAGAAACAACATTCACAAAATCATCATCTGAGAGTGTTTCCAGCATTTCTGAGACTGATGTCCTGATCAGTTTGAGAGTCAACCCAGAGACACTTCCACTCCTTGTGTAGAAAAAAGACAAAGAATAAAAAAGATTAAAAACCTTTCAAAAAGTGTATGGGATATGAAAATATCCCTCATATTTCTGTAAAACCCCTACAGTATCTTGTGTACAGTGTGGTACATCCCTTTCATATCTCAAAGTTTCAGTAATGGATGACTGTCAATCCTCAACGTTCATTGTTTATAAGAAAAGCCAACCGTATAAAAATACCAATATAAATCACCAATATATGTAGTTCAGTCTATTGTGACTGAGTTTTTCCCAGACTCACCTGCTGAACCTTGGAAAGCTGAATATAACACCTTACCTAACAATACTAAAGCAAATATATAGTATAAGCAATTGATTTTAAATCTTAAATGGGACGTTTTCACATAACAAATTGTTTGAAAAAAGACTTTTACTTTTTAAAATTTTGAAAAGTTTTGGTAACATTAATGGGTTAGAAATTCACAGAACATTTCTCTCAATCAAAACATAACGAACAGATGCAGCGTTCCTAACATCTGTATCTTCTGAAAGTATAATAAATCTTGCTCTTATTTTACAAGACGTAGCATTGAATACACCACAGAATACTTCATAAAAAGATGAAATTATGGCAAAAAAGATGGAAGAAAAAGAGACAGGATTGCAGACATATTATGCTATAAAAAAGAAAGAGCAACAACATTTATGTATAACAGTCTAATCGAGGAGATTTATCGGAAGTCAACTTAAACAGAAGAATTTGGTTTTAAATTTTAGCGTCCCCCATTTGCTTGATTCCAGAACTGCAGTTTCCTGAGCAACACTTTATCTGTTGAAATGGTGGTCACTGTCACCTCAGTGAGGACTGAGAGCTGCAGAAGTGAGATAATCGCTCACTTTTCTCCCAGCAGAAAAATCAAAAGTCTTGGCATCATCTTACCCTCTCCCATAAAACCCAAAATGTGGGGAGTATTTGTAATTACGGTATCATAATAAAATGTATTCCTTCACAATTAGATAAATGGTTTATTAAGTCCATTTGGTCCAATGTACATTGTATGACTAAGAAGTGAGTACTATATCAACAACCTTTAAATATTAACACAAACTCACCATGCTTCTTCCTAAATTAGTAATATTTACTTTATTAAGAGCATGAAATAGTTCCAAATGAAAGGAGGCCATTTGGCCCATCTAGCCTATTTGGCAAATATATCCAAAGATCTCATCCATCCTTCTCTTGAGGGGTGCCAGGGTATCGGCTTCAACGATGTGGCCAGGCAGCCTTTCTACACTTCCACAAGTGTTTGGGTATATTGTACATACAGTATACTGGAAGTGTTTCAATTCCCTTCATATGTTTATAGTGTATCAATAGTAACAAACTTCAGTTTGTAATGAATAACATACTAAGGAGTCCACCATGTGTGGTTTATGCTGTACAACACTTGGGTTGCTGAGATTATGAGGGGATAAGCGTACCCTTGGGAAATTATAATGTGTAAACTTGTGTTTAAAAAGATGAAAGATCAGGGCTGAGACAATTAACCAATACATATTAAATGTTAAAGGAAGCTAAAGATTTGCAATTAAGACAATTAGAGCTGTTAAAGCTAAAAATGCACATGGGAATGACATTTCTACTTTTTTAGTACTTGGTTTGGTGCTATAATTAGTACAAATAAAAATACTGCTTTTTAAAGGCTTTGAAAAAAGCACTATATTTTAGTAAAATAATGTTGTTCCCTTGCAACCATTGACAGATAATAGGGAAGTCCTGAATTAAGAACTGGTAACAGGTGTCACAGAGTGAATCTGGGAATCTGGACGTTGCTTATTCTAAAAGCATCCAATTTAACAAGCAGGTCTGGATAGAGTTCAACTGAATTCAATAGATGTCCTGAAAACATTAAAAATAAAATTACAACTCTCTAAATGTTTATGGAATCACCTAAATTGTGTTCATTTTATGATTAGGAGGCTGTTCTGGCAAAGAAAATCTACATGTAAATGTTTTTTTTTTATTTTTCATTGAAATTGAATTAAAATGAAAGGCACTTACACGTCAACAAGAATCAACATATCCTTTGGCGAAGCTGCTCCTTGTATGTACCTAAAAACACACACAAACCAATATTTCATGAACATACTGTACACAAGGCAAGAGCTTTGATCCCCAGCTACTCACTGATCCAGAACAATGAAGAAAAAAAGATCAAGAATTATTTCTAACAAAGCAATAGCTTACTATTTAAATCACATTCACCATTATGTCATATCTAGTCTGTAGTTCTGTTAAAGGGCTTTATTTTTGCTTAATTTGTGATTAATTCTATGTTGCCTGTTTAAAAACTAGAAACAAAAATACCATGTACATAAATATTCATAGCTCTGAAATATACACACTGGTTTAAGAAAGTGGTCTATATACACTGTTAGATACAGATGTATGGCTTTTTATGATTTTACTCATATTTCCCACTGAAATGCATTCTAAAATTAATAAAATGCATGTCAATAAATGTCATAGATATTACTGTAGGTGAATGTCTTGAATAAAAATTAAAATTAAATAATTGTTGAAACTGTGAAAATACTTCTGTCAACCTTTGTATTATGATCTTCACTATTATTAAAAAATGTGTTAAATTCTGTTCTAAAAATGTCTTACTAATGTCACGCCCTGTACACCTAGAGGGTGCTCTACTTCAGTCCTGTTCCTAGTTCCATGTGATTATTCTTGTCTTTCCGGTGTGTCTTGTTGTGTAGCCTATGTACTTCCTGTGTCTGCTGTGCTCCTTGCTCAGCATTGAGGGTACGGATGTTGTAAGACATAGCCTAGCACCAGGTCGCCCCTGTCCGCTACGCATAGAGTCTTTACTGCTCTCCTTGTCATTCCACGGCATGCCTTTCCGACATCCGTGACAACTAATATACCATTTTTGGACAGTCAACTTTAATTTATCTGAACTGAAAAAGGCTTGGCACGATGGCGTAACTTAGCTCTTCTTACCGTTTTTGGAATCTGGTTGACCACTGGCCTAGAGCACCATCCCTGTGGAATTTACATGCTTTTCCTGAGTTGCCATGGGTTCTTTGAGGTGCTCTGGTTCTATCCCACCTTCCGCAGACATGCTACCTACAGTATGTTATGTTAATTGGAGTTCTGTTAAATGTTACCTACCTGTTAGATAACTGGAGTCACTTAATTGTCTTGTGTGTGTGACCCATAATGGACTGCTGTCCTAACCAGAGAGTAGTCCTATGCTTTTGGGATAGGTACTGAGCTGCTGTGACCTCGACCAAGAATAATTTCATATAATGTGAATTTGAATCGCTTACCATGGTCGCCGTCGAACATCGTACAAATCAATTTTACTCGCAGTGTTCCGTGAGTCCTTCCAAGGAGAAGCTGAAATAAACATAAACTCCCATTACAATGAATGATGTTTAAAGGTTTTGCATTACATACATTAATTATATCACTGGTACGAAATGGGTTAATATAGTCTAACTCTGTAACTTGTACTTCGTAATGCACTTTTTTTTGGAAGAATTACAAATTGATTTATATTTTGAATTGTAATCCTGAAACATGAATCAATACACTATTTGGCAAATTTTGTATTATTTTTTTAATGTTTTTTTTAATTTTTTTTATCTCCTTTCCAGCAACTATAGAAGTAGTACTGGCACTCTCTCTCGGCCCAGATAGTGACCTGGATCTGAACTCACTGCAAGAATAGCTCAAAGCAGAGGCCTGGAAATTGTTTGCTAATTGACTGTGTTGATGACTGTTTGTATAAAGCCATTAAATGCCTGGAAAGGACTCAGTTTCAGTGGATACTGTAAGTGGCTTCTGATTTCAGGGCAGGAAGCCATTAAAGCCCCAGATGGTTTTGCTATTTACTATAATTTGCAAAGATGTAACATTGTTTGCAGATTGCACTATAGAAGACCACCTAATCCAATTTGTATTGGGGCACATACCCAGGCACTACCTTTTACTGCCCCCACCCTTAACCCTTCATGGGACTCCTTTAGCAAACAGGTAACGATAACTAATCCTTCCAGCCCTTTTCCAATATCTCAGCAAGCAATGGGCACAAGGCAGTATACACCCTGGACAGGATACCAGTCCATCGCAGATCGCATGCTGACACCCACTCACACCAGGGAAAATATTCCCAGGAGCCAATTAACCTCCAAAAGCAGAGCATCCAGAGGACACCCATGGGGAAAACATACTGTACAAACATCAGACAGACAGCACCTTAGGTCCAGAATTGAACCCAGGACAACAACACTTGTGGCACCACTGTGGTGCCCACTTTAAATAATATTTCCATATTTAGATTTTGCCGTATTAAATATAAAAGTTTCAACAATCAATTTGAACAGACTGCGGTGTTTTGAGCACCCTGTGTTACAGTCTCCGACATTGAACCTTTGCTGTTCAGTCTGCAGTATCAGTTTAGATTAGAAAGAGGTCTAACTAGTTTAGTTCAAACAGAGGAATATGTTCCGCTTCTGTGATTTTTTTATTTTAGCCTGAAGAGTATTAGGAAACGTGACATGCCTCTTTCTATCTCGTGTGTATAAAACACAAATTGGAAATAAAAAAAAAATATTTACAAGAACATTGAAAGAAATATTACTGAAATACATTCATCATGATTAACTGCCTGGGTTGCCAAGACTATGCAGTACTATATGACAGATATGAATATATGGTTTCAGAGCACATATCCAACAAACCCTTGCTGCATGTTTCATTTCCTCTCTAAATGTTGGCATACAGTACTTTCGAACTTGGATGGTAAATAAGCAGCTAGCTGGGGCAATAATATCATAAAATTACTGTATGTGAGAAAATACCAATAATGCTTCTGATAGTTCTGGTTCAATTTTTATGCAAGTAAGTAATATTAAAAAAGAAAAAAAAAACATTTGCAGGGATACAATTTTTTTCCCAGTGAAAAAAACAGGGAATTTTTATACTATTGACTTGTGCTGTAAGAGCTTCAAAACAGATTCAAATAATAATGGCAAACATTAATACCGTAAGCTGGTACTTATCCTGCTACAGTATATTTCAGAACAGTAACAATTAGTAACAGTAACAGTAAGAGGTCTCTATCAGCTTTTGCATGTTAGTGACACTTCTATTTGAAGTACAATAATGAAAAGCAATGGATATTCTATATGTACATTTCAAAATACATTATTCCCGTGGTTTTCTAGTTTCCAATATGCAGTACCATTTCCTAAGACATTTCGTTTCAATAATTTAAGAGGGGTGATAGGTTGTTGTAATCAGTTAACAGCGCAAGGAACTCAACCATAATGCACAACTGCTTCAGCCTTAGTGCAGGAGAAGGAAAAAAAGCATGGTTACAAATGAGAGGAGGCTACTGCAGATATCAAGCTCAATTGGTTGCTAACAAAATCATGCCCAGATGCAGAGTTTGTGAAAGCAGCTGACTGAAGAAAGACTTTAAATCAGGGGTGTCCAAACTTTGTCCTGGAGGGCTCGTGTGTCTCTAGATTTCCAAGGTCTCTTTAAGCAGCAACACCTGAAGAGCTGGAAGGGAGCTAATAATTTGGTCCAGTAAAACTGATAATGAGGCGATTTAGCTTGTTAAGAGCGGAGTTGGAATGAAAACCTGCAGACACACCAACCCTCCCAGGACTGGACAGCCCTGCATTAAATACTATTAGCACAGACCAGTCAAATGTGTTACAGATTCCAGAAGCAATTGACATAAACAAACCTCCAGGGCCTCATGGTAATATACCAATTATACTTAAGGAAACACGATGGTATCCATAACAAAATACGTCTTGCTGTCACTCAAAGACAGAAGTAATAGTCGTTGACTGGAACAGTGCTAATGAAAGAGGGCAACAAAACCAAACCAAGCAATCCTCAGATCCATCATCCATCCATCTGTTTTCTAACCACTTCTTCCACTTCAGGGTTGTGGGGGAGCCAGAGCCTATCCCAGCAAGCAACAGATGCAAGGCAGGGTACAACCTGGACAGGACAGCAATCCAGCTCAGGGCAGACACACTGACACAAATACAGACATGCACACACTCACACCTAGGGCCTTGCGCCAGAGGCCAATGAACCTACCAGTATGTAGGTATACAAACTGCACACAGGTAGCTCTCCAGGTCTGGAATTGAACTCAGGGCTCTAGCTCAGCAATGCTTACCATTTTGCCACTGTGCAGTCCTATTAGAATCGTAGTTCTCCCTAATATGTACTGTATATATCTATTATTTACATGGTGAAACTAGTTAGAATAAATAAATTAGTTAGATTTACAAATTACATCACAACAGGATTATTAGGCAAACATCCAAAAACTGCAAGGGACATTAAAAAAAAAGAAAAGATTTTGACCAAGAACGACATCGGTATTTCAGTTGACATACCATTTCTATCTTATCATCTCAACTATAAATATAAAATATAAAAGCAATCAAAATCGGCAGGATTCCTGGATTTTAAGTAATGCTACAGAATATACTGGGAAGCTAAACAACACAAGGAGCGCCGAGTGAAGTATTCTAAATACTTAAAGGTGTGAACAAACTAAAACCAAATGTCGTCTCCAGAAATGGGAAAAATGTACGCACTGGAAGACTGGAAGATGAAAACTGTGGAAAAGTGTATTAAACACTGAGAACAGGGTGTACTGTTTTACACAAAGGATAGAGGCAGAGAGTGATTGAGAAACATAAGAAAAGTAAAAAATGGGCACAGGCATTGAAAGCGTACTTCAAAGAATACTCTTATTCCCACAGTTCCTTAATGGCTCTCTTACCCACGCTTTTCCATACTCTATCTTGATTGTTTGAAAACACTAGATCAATACAGACATGGCCTTTAGTAGGTATTCTTACAAACTGAGCAAAAAAGCTGTTGTTACCTCATGCCTACTGTACCATTCCAGTTTCAACTGCTGATATTTCTAATGGCTCTCTCCAAGTTTTGTGAGAAAAATTAATCATCACCTTTTATCAAAGCAGCCCTGATTTAGTTATATGACACTGTACAGTAATTGAAAACAGCATTTGGTAAAATGTAGATGTTAAATGTAAACTCCTATTGCTTTTTGAATGCATTATTGTAAGTCTGACCCATACAGTAGATGGTACAGTGCTTTGCAAAACTATTTAGACCATTTCATAATTTTCACATTTTGTTGCTTTAAAGCTTGCAGTCATGACACTTTGAATTAAATAATCGTATTTGTTGTTTACGCAACCCCAAACAAAAAAGTAAATAAATCATGAAGGTGAGAGAAAAATGGAAATTCTGGATGCATTAGTATTCAAAAACTTTGGTGTGGCAATCCTACATTAATTCAGGTGTACAAAATTACCTTAACGAGTCACATTATTACTTGATTTGGCCTCTGTCAGTGTGCATTATTAAGGGTTCATATGATTTCAGAATACATTTACCTTTCTCTGTAAAGACTTATCTCTTTGAGCATGGTGACGTCTGTAATTAAGCAGAGGGAGATATCCAGATGCTGCTTAGAGCAGGCTGCACCTCCAAATGGAGCAACTGGGCAAAGAGGAAACTGCTTAGTGATGCCACTGTGACACTAACAGGGACTAAGAAAGAGTAACAGACTTTAGTTTGGAGGATGGGAGAAAATGTTTATCGGTCAACCATATCCCAGTCTCTCTACATAGGGGGCTTGCATAAAACTGAAAAGACACCACATGGGATCTGCAACAAAGAGTCCAAGTGATAAAGTAAACATTTGGCACAATGTTTACTTGTGCACAATGTTTACAGCACAGGTGTCAGATTCCTGTGCTGGAGTATTAATTTTGATGTATAGTGATACACCTCAACTAATTATACTGTATCTTTCCTCTCTGTTAAGAATTTAATTAATTCTGTATTTATCAGTCTCCTTTGACAATGTGTTAGTGATACCAATTACAGTTCATAGTAATTCCCAAATAATGCAATATCCTCTATTTCTTCTTGCTTTTTTTCCTAACTCTCCTGGCATTTAAGTATACATTTAAATTGTTTTGTTTTGACATTTTGATTTTTCCCTGGGTTCTGTTTTTTGACATGACTATACAGTAAGTATACAGTATATCTCTATACAGTATATATTTTTTTCTTTTGGGTACCTTCCATTCTAGTTTAAATGTTTTTTCCTGTAGATTCTCGCCCCACGCAGAGTGTTGCTCATCTCATTCAGATGTAATCCATCATGTCTGTGGGGATGGCCTTTGCCACAGCACAGCTTCCAATGGCCAAGAAAGATGAAGCCTTGTTTATTACACCATGTGCTGTGCTTACAGATTAGCACTTCCAGTTCTTCACCTTTGCATAGTGCAGGCAGGATCCCTGAGGAAACCAATGAGTCCTACTCTTACGTTGGTTTCCAAGGCTTTTGAATTTCTTTCAGGTGGACACTGCGTGGTTTATGCCAATATCTTTTGACACAAAAGTGGGGGATGATCCCTAATTTACATCTGATACCTCTCGTCTTTCATTCCTTTGCTGTTTTCTTTTAGACTGAGACAAACAAGAAATGACAACAAGCCCCCTCATTGGTAAAATATAAAGTAGTACTCTTTCATCATCACCTCAGAAAGGTTAAGAGAACTACTGTAAATGGAGTGAATATCTACTGCAACCTTATGTAATTCCTCGTAGGCTGCTCTGGTCGATAAATCCTTCTACCGCCTGCAGTAAATACTAGGATAAAGTAGTTTAGGAGGGTAGCTGCGTCAGCATGCATAGGCTGCAAAGGAACAAGTCAAGGTTTATTCCATGCTGAAAAGAGAAGAAAGGAAACACAACATTTCGGCTGTGGAGCCTTCTTCGGGTGTGTGAAGATTACCCTTAGAAAAACATTTCTACAATTGTACTATATAACTGAGCCATAGCTTTATTCTAACAGATACACAACGGGTGTCACACTCGAAGAAGGCTCCACAGCCAAAACGTTGTGTTTCCTTTCTTCTCTTTTCAGCATGGAATAAACATGGAATAAACCTATTACTTGTTCCTATCACATGGTATGATTCTCTATAGCTTTCTCATTTCAAGCTCTTCTCCTTCTTTGTTTACCATTTTAATGAGTGATATGTCATAATAATGCTCAGATTGTCTTGAAGCAACAAATACTCTAATATGTCATACAAAATTCACAGAAGACTGGACCTCAGCATTAGTTGTCTGTTTTTTTTTGTCCCCCTTTGTCCCGTGTTTGTCTGTGATACTGTGGGCATTGGGGTGACAGGGCCCTGCGTTTTTGTTGTTATTTTTCCCTGCAGAGGCCCTGGGACCGAGCAGCAGTCACACAGCACTCATGGGGGCAGGATGAATGTGAGTGGAGGTGCCCCTGGTGAACTGATTGACCAGACCAAAAATCAATGTTGACACATAAATAAAGCTGTGGTAAAAGATTACATTTTCCCTTTAAGTTGAAATCCCTATGTAATGAAACTGTCATGAATAACGTACTGTACTGGCAAAATAGAGAAATGCAGATGATGTTGTGTCTGGAAATAGATCTGCAAATAGGCGAAGAGCCTGACAGCGCCTGTCAAATGTAAAGCCGCCAAAGGAGAGTTTTAGTTTCACAGTCTGCCACAACTCTGTCTACCTGGTCAATATACAGTTTTCTACAAATCTTAACATAATTCTGGTGGCATAACAGCAGGACCACAAACATAACTCATTCTCTCTTTTATTTTAGGACCAAAACAGTTCTATTTTAGTATGGTAAACTGTCTGCCATGGCGATTCAAAAGCGTAGCTGCTCTACTGTATATCACTTGTGCATCAAAACAGCCGATGGAGGCTTTACACCAGATCCCACTTTTCTTAAAATAGAAATCAATTTTCTCATAACCTTCTGTGAGAAAAGGGAGAGAAATCTACACTGCAATATATGCTCAAAAACATGACAAAGAGTGAGTTTCTGCACCTGGTTTATCTATATGTATATATCCCTCTTTTTCAACTAAATTTAAAAGAAATTATCCTTGTATCAGTAAATAATTTTGCCCACCATGTATATATATAAGCCTAACAAAGAGATAAATGTTAAATTTATTAAAGCTCTAAATTCTATTACTAAATTAATAATAAATATGTTGTGTATGTCACACAGGTGGGGGCTGCAACTCAGAGGATGAAGTGGGTCTGCGCCTATATACTGTATAAAGTGCTTTAAGATACTGTGGGATGAAAAGTGCTATAAATATTCATGATTATCATTGCTGCTTTTTTTAGTTAGGGTTGTCACCTCTGATTTATACTGTAAAACACAACACACTGAAGCTACAACATAAAATGAAATAAATTAGCTTGCTATGAAATGTATAAAAGTGTCACCACTTACTTCAACAGTTCTTACCTTAGGAAGGTTAACAAGTTGAATTGCATAATTATAGACCAATAACTTTGACCCAACAATTATTAGATCTAAACTAGAGCATAATACCCTAAGAAGTAATCAAGCAGGATTTAGAAAAGCCTAATCAACAGTAATGAATACACACAGGGCCTACGATATTGTGTATTTAGATTTTCAGAAGGCTTTCGATAAAGTTCCTCACAAATGTCTAATTCAGGGAAACACTGTTTGGATTGAGAATGGGTTATGGAAAAACAGGGAGTAAAATGTATCAGTGATCTAGATTTTGGTATAGTTAAGAAATTATTCAATGCTGCAGATGAGCCAAATAAGGAAGATGTGCAAACTGTAAAAGATGCAAATAAAATTAAAAATGATTTAGATAAAATTAACGAGTGGGCACACCTGGAAGGGGATGTTTAATGCAGACAAACACAGGGTATTGCACTACTAACTATCAGATAGGCTAGATACAGTAGGTCAAATGGCCAATTGGCCTCCTCTCATTTGTAACGTGTCTTTTATTCTGAAACTCTGATTAGGAAAATGAAGGGTCTACACCATGCAATCATTGCTGCTAGTTGTGTTTATATCCAATATTTAAAGTGTGACTTAGTTACCGACACAAGAGGTGCTGAAAAATTAAGGATGATTTGCAATTGAAATTAAATGTGAATGAAATAGCTTGTAAATTATATTAAAATGGTAGCATTTCAGTATTATTAAAAGATGATAAAACAGTATATTACTGTATGTGTATGGTCACATTTTCTGGGAGCATGTTACTGACTGACAATTTGCAGTCATAGAATGCAATTGTGCATGTACTGTAGTAATAGCTAGTAATAGCAATAGTAAGCAATATACTGTAGTTATCTACAGTAGTTATTACTGTCATTACCAGTTAACTATAAAGAGAGGTATGAGGTATGAGTGGAAAGCTGCATATGAAAGACCCACAAAGTTTCAGTTGGTGAGCTGAAATGCTCACACCTGAACACTTCACAATTTGTGCCAAACCACTGCATTCTTTCTTTCTGCTTTCGATGTCTGATTGCTCCTTATGTCTAGATATCTTATGACAAGAATACGAAACCAGAATTAAAAAAATCCCTGCATATTTTCCATAAATATATACTGCACATCCATTCATTAAATATTTTCCCTGGTTATCTTATCAGTAAAATGGACATGTTTATATGTACACGTATATAGTGCCTTTTGTGATAAAATGCCTTAGATATTTTCTCATGCATTATAAAGTCATCAGGTGTGATAATAATAATAATATTATTAATAATAATAATAATACAATAAAACAGCAACAGTTGTAATAGTAATACTGTATTCTCAGAAACAGTAAAAGTCCATCCTTCACGGAGAACTGTGAAACATAAAACATACATAAAGCTAGATAAATCACATTTGTAGCTTCTCACAACTCAAAAAATGCCCTGTGAAGCAACTAATAAAGCAATATACTGTAAATGTAAGTCGGTTTCAGTGACAGAGATAACAGTATGTCTACATACAGTACTTCTTTTTCTCGACAAGTTACAATATTAAAGTTACAACAGGGGTGGTGTGGTGGCTCTGTGGCTAAGGATCTGGGCCTGTGGCTAGAAGGTTGCTGGTTCAAATCCTGCGGCCAGCAGAGGAATCCTACTCCGTTGGGCCCCTGGGGAAGGCCCTTAACCCCATTTGCTCTGGGGGATGCTGTATAAATGGCTGGCCCTGTGCTCTGACCCCCAAGCTTCACTCCCTGTCTGTGTGCCTCATGGAGAGCAAGTTGGAGTATGCAAAAAGACAAATTCCTAATACAAGAAAATCTATATGTATGCTGTGGTGTGTCATGCTATTTTTTTTGTTTTTTCAAGATTCTCCGTTCATTATTTGAAAGCAAATGACAACGGATTTTGTGGGTTAAACAAACACAGGTTTATTCCCATTATTTGAAAGAAAAAGTCAAACAGTTGGATGTTGGCAGTCCTTCCATCACAAAACGAGATGGAACTCTGGCCACATCATCAGTAGTGAAAGCATGTAATTACCATCACCCAGATACACCTAGTGGCACACTGGAGTTAGGAATCCTCCCTGCAAAAACGTATTATATGTGACATTCTAATTCCATTAAAAAGTCAGTGAAGCTCTAGGTGCTATTTTATGTCCGTTTAATTAAAGTCACAACTATTAGTAATGTCTCTCTAGGATCTCTTCAAGGATCTTTAAACAAAATACTGTAAAATGAAAAGGTGGCCTCCTTCTCTCCTAACAGTTCTGGGTTCTTCAGTGTTTAAGGACTCACCTGGATAATACCGAGCCAGACCAGTCGCACTGCCAAACACCTGCCAAAGTAAAGTAGGATCCTCTTCTCTGTTTTTCTTAAAGATGTTTTCCAGTGCCTCAGTCCAGCTCAGCTCGTTCAGCACCACCGTGGCTGGAGAAGACACAAAGCAAGTTCAAATTGTAAACTCAATTTGTCTGTGGGAGGACCTATTAAATATGTATTATATGAAACATTAACATCATAGTTCATTTGATGTACAGCAATTCAGAATCACATTACTGAAAGTACTCACTTCAGTCATATACCGATCAATGAAGATATATAGTGTATATACAGTGTTCATACTTTAAAATATTTGTAACTGTAAATACAAGTTATTTAATATTCATGTTGATAATCTGTTTTAGAGTCTTTTGTCATTGGTATGACTATCTCAGAAAATGTAGCGGGAGTTGTTGTGGAAGTACGTTTCTGGTTATTACAATTTTATTTCTGGTTATGTTGATAGACTTTATGTACAGAAGGCACTTCCTTATTATACCAGAAAACATTTTTTATTATCATGGCTCAGGTACCTAACAAAAATAATGGAAATAATTAATTAATAGATGCTCGTTGTTTCACATAAGAAGATACAGATAAAGATACATAAGAAGATACAGAGAGAGAAAATGTAAAATAAATTGATCCTAATAGATGCTCACAATTTGAACATTACACACCACAGCATTACATACAAAATGTACAAAATATCATTAGGCCAGGTGCAAAAGCAGTATGAAAAAATATTTAAATATATAATTCCTATAACCTTGAGACCGTGGTTAAAACAGAACATTACCATAGAAGCTAAAATGACATTGCATAAAATGTCAAATAAGAGAAATGATACAAAGTGCATCATGAATCTGTGCCAAAGTGCATCAAAGTTAGCTGGTTCTTTCTTTAAATTGTGTCTGCATACATATCAAGTGTTGGTCTGAAAATGAAATGTTTAATCTGTGGTATTTCCAGACTGTAAATATACAAGCTGTGAGCTTTTGAGTATAAACTGCATGTACTGTACCTTATGCTATAATTGTGAAATAAATACTTTCAGAAAAACATTACAGGTAAAGAGGAAAACAAAAAATCATTCTTAGATAGATACTTTACATACTTTATTGATCCCGTGAGGCTTTACTGATTACTGTCATTTGCATAACAAATAAAATAGGACAATTTTCCTCTGAAAAATAAAAAGGGAAATTCTGTCTATAAGCCTAAGGCCAAACATTGGTTAGGGACTACAGTATTACCACTGATCTTGTCAGATCTCAGTAGACAAGCAAAGCAGGGTCTGGGCAGGTCTGGAATAGAAGACCTCCAAGGAAACTAGTGGGGACCACTGTAGCAGGTGCCATCCTTCATATCAGATGTTAACCTGAGGCCCTGACTACTGTTCATTACTGATCTTACTGCACTGTTCAGGGGTATAAACACTAGTTTCCATCCTGACTAAATTCCACTCTCATTTTGCACAATCTGGCTTTTTTTTAAGTGCTCCCTTAATTCAACAGGAGAAGCAGTTTCTCATATCAGACCTGTTGTTGAGTGGATCTGCTGGCACGTAATGGCTGCCACTCATAACCTGGATGGATGCTGCAGTGGTACAGTAGATATACAGTAGATCCCGACCTACATGTTAAGTACTTTTGGAATACTTTGGGATCCAAAGTGTTAAAGTAATTTGCTATGATTAACTATCTTATGATGTGTTTCCACTGATATTAGGTTTAAGATATCAACACCTACAAGAATTATTTTGGTAATTTTTATTCCTAGGGTGGGAGGCACAGTTGCCCAGTGGTTAGCATCGCTGCCTCACAGAGTTGGGGCCCTGGGATCAATCCCGGACCTGGGCTGCATTTTTATGGAGGTTGTATGTTCTCCCCTCGCTCAAGAGGGATTCCTCCAAGTGCTCCAGTTTCCTCCCACAGTTCAAAAACCTACTGGTAAGTTTCTGAGAAAACTGTTCCTGGTGAGAGTGTGTGGGTGTCTGTGTCCGTGTGTGGCCTGTGATGGACTAGTATCCAGTTCAGGGTGTATCCTGCCTTGCACCCATTACTTGCAAGGAGAGGTTCCACGTCATCCGTGACCCTGGATTGGAAGGTGTTAGAAAATCGATGCATAATTCTTATGGTAGTTTCTGCTATTCATATAGGGAAATAAAGATGATACCATCAGGGGCACTGTAAAGAAAAGATTATTGCTTTATCTCTTTCCCACAGAATGTGCTTTGATTATACAAACACCATTTACAGTACCATACCAGTCGGCGGCATTTCTGCAAAGCAGAAATACAGTGTTTTAGAATAGAATTTAAAATTGTCCTTACGGAACTTCTCATTTTATAACAAAAAAATGATGCCTGAAGTTAAATTAGATGGAAAGGTAAAGCTAGAATAACACGCACTGACACCCATGGGTCAGAAGTGAAGGAAAAAAGGTGAGCTTAATCCAAGATTATCCATTTTCTGTCTTGATCTGTCTTCAACTAAAGCATCCTGGGTCTGGCGACAGAATTCAGCAAAATGTCACACCAAATGCTGAGCATACTCTTTATAAAAAGAGTATGAATAAATGCTTAGAGTAGTAAAATGCTTAGAATATCATTAAACCCACAACCTGTCATGTCCAGAGGCATAAAAAGAGTGCTACGCTACCCCCAGAGTTTTTTTGGTTATGTAACAAAAACAAATTGGCAATTCTAAATGAAGAAAAAACAGAACTATTATTTCATTTCCCATTTACAGGGGCCTTGCAAACTATTCGTCATGATAATGAATTTCAGGATAGCAGCAAGGACTCACCACCTGAAATAAAAGAAAGCAGAACATATTGTACACTCCACACTCTTTCTAATACCTACATTACCAGTTTTTTAATAATGGTGAAACAGGGGTATTGACTCTTGCTTGCCATGATGGAGTTCCTTTCCTCGAACTTTCAGGTTTACAAAAGACCTTCAAAATGCAATACAAGCCTAAGGCACGAATGTTTTTATACCCCTCATTTCGCTCCTACTTCCATTACCACAGCAAAGCTCTGGACCATTTCCCCGTTCAATCCAGCCAAATCCATTGTTATTACTATTATGATATTGCAAGCATAATATAATATGCATCGCTACACAGCTGGTGATATCAATCATCCCTTATAATTCCTCAGAGATACAGGCTTCCTTTTTTCTATCACGTCTTTATGATACAGGTCTTATAAGCCTTGACAATCCTCTGAGTTCAATTTTCTACCAAAACTGTTATCAATATTACATTCAGCTGCATCTCTTCTAATTCAGGCTTATTTTAAATGGAGCAGGAAAAACACACTTTTGATTATGTATTTAATCTGCCAGCTCGGTGTATGTCTTTATTTGAAAAGCCTTTGAGATGTTTGCTCTCTGAAATGATAACACTTTTTTTTTTTCCAATGGATACAATGATTCAGTCCTGGATAAGGCATTCTGTGGCTTTGTCACAGGAGCTAAAATGGCTCCATCTGTAGATCTGAAAGTTCCTATTCCTTAATGTGTGAATTAAGAGCAGCCGCATGACCAGAGATGCAGCCATTCAGAATCCATTTCAAAACTCTAATTCACGGTAAACAAGGTGCACTGTACTGTGGTATGATTCAGTTTGCTGAATTTAGCAAGTTACTAAGGGAAATTTTGGCAGCTGAAAATTAAAATAACTGAAGTATAATAACATTTCTACAGTATATGTCATTAACAATGGTGATTATTAATATAAATTAATTATAGTTATAGAGCTGGTAGTGATAACTGAAAATAAAAACTAAGGCACATAACAGTATTTAATCTTGTTCATGTACATTTTCTGCATTGAATTCCTTGGTTACTTGTAATAACTGTAGTTATTTTGGAAAAGTATCGACGTGTTTGTTTTAACTATATTTCCCATGAACACCTGCTGTCATGACTATAATATAGTATAACACTGAACAGAAACTTACACAAAGAAACACACTATAAACCGCATATTATAAATAAAAAAACTTTGGTTGCCATTGTTGGGATGTTGTTGTGGCAATAGTGTGGTTTATTTAAAGAAAATTATTTTATGGTACAGTATCAGCTACAATGCAACTTACATTAAGTATGTAAGTCATTCTTTGAAAGTCATCCAAGTTAGTACCGGCCTCTTTTTTTTAACACATTTATTTGCTTTTAAATATGATATGTTTTTTAAACCCACTATGTATAATATATTTTAAGAATCAAAACCTAAAATAAAAATATCTGTTTCATAACTAGTTTACACACACTTAATACTCCTGTATACTGTATGTAACAATAAAATTTTAAAAAATCTGTTAGTGTTACTGTAAAGTTTGATTAGCACAGAAAAGCAGTAATGGGTTAATACACATTTAAACTGTATTATTAAAACAAGATTTGTCTGACAGCCGTATGCGGTTGCTTATTGTTTCACATTAAATATTAAGGATTCACTGAAAAAAAAAACAGATTTTTGCCGTGGCACTAATTGTGGTGTGCCTCCTCACACCTTGTACATTGTAAATGGCTGCATCTGTATGTAACACATGTCAAAAGTGGATTACCCATTTAAGGTTTATTTTCACCTCTCACTCATTTAATGTAAAACACTAACCATTGAATGTAGAGCAGCAATAGATGATTTTGCAGTGAGATATTAACCATTCATGCTAACCATTCAGGTTTGTGAATGGGATAACATTTATTATTCCTCTCCATTTGCACATCATTTCTTCCCTTTTGGAAAAGTATAAAGTGCTTGTCGGAGTTACAGCAGCTGGCCTAGTCCATCAACCTGTTTTGTGAACACTGTGTGGTGTGGAAGCTCTGAACTTTCAAGTAGTAAATGAAAGTAAAGAATACCATGTCAAGTGACCACCCACAGAACTGTCTCACCTCAAAGGGGCCCAGCTATTAATAATTCAAGCGACCCAAAGTCAGTTGCTTTTTTGGCACAATCCTGAATTTACACAAACTTTGTTACATTTTGAATAACTTTCTTGACTAAATATCAACCATTTTACCTACAGTATACACCTTGGTCCTTATTAACAGTTCACACTCTGAGTGACAGCTCAAATGATAATGGTCT